GACAGCCTACTCTTTTAGAGAAGATGAAGGGTTGGAATTATCCTCTTGAGTTTCAAAGACCTCCATCCTGGATAGGAGGGAAGCGGTAGGTATTATTACTCCTGCGAGAAATAATTACCCCTAAAACTCCTCTGTGAGAATGAATCTCTGTGTGCTCAGCAACAAAGTTTGAGAGACAAGGTGGTAATTATGTCACAGAAATATTTCAACTAGTGTAAATATTCAAATATTTATGCTGGGGTGTCATACTGACAAGCACAGCACATTCACAAGATGGAAAACGCTCAGAGAGAAAGCCACTGAAGGAAATATGGAGTCAAAAATGCATAGTGTGTGTAATTGGCTATTGGGGTTTTAATATCTTTCCGATAATTCGCTCAAATATTTTTATTGGAAGTTCAGCAATATCCAGTGTTGGGGGAAAATAGCTATCTTGATTCAACAATTACAATGTTAGACTGGATTTTTTTTTTTTTTTCAAGCATCAAGATGAATGAGTTCCAGTTTCAAACTGAAACTCCTGGTTCAACCTGGAAAATGATTTGTGAGGTTAGTGTAGTGTATGAGTGTGCGTATGTGTCTGCAGGTTAGTGGTCCTGACCTTGGCTCCTGGGTGGGCCGTGGTGGCTGCGTGCTTGTCTTGGATCATCCCTGGACCCTTCTGTTTACTGAAACAACAAGCAAGCAGTGTCCAGGGAGGAGAGAGGAGTCACACAGGGAGCATCCTCAAAGGCAGCACCTCTCTCCTTTTCTTTCCCTTTGCACACGTACGCACACATACAATCTGCACGAGGAGGGCCGTCCTCGGAGCCCTGACCACCCACATAAGAAATGGCCATCCACTGAAATGAAAACAGTGACTTTCCATTGACCCCCTCCTTAATGAATCTCTCATCTGCTAGAGGCGTTAGACATGTTGAAGCCACTTTTACTTAATATTTGTGCTAAAATATGATCCCACTGATGGTAAAACCATTATTGTGCAACTGTAGGAGAGAAGCTCTCTCACACTGATGGTCTGTAAAGGAAGAGAACTGCCCTTGCCACTTATAACATACTATTATGAATTATTATTAACTATTATTACTATCATTTGATGTTTTCAAGAAGACTTTGAAAATGGTAAATTAAAAGGTGTCATAATGTGTTTTCACCACTAAATTGCAGAGCACCTGAGGTGAGGAAAGTCCCATCTCTCTGAGGTAAACAACTTTTGATTTCCACTGCAGGTGACACACACACACACACACACTGCACAGACTGTGGTTTTAAGATAGGTACGACTATAGGAACATTACAAAAACACACCTGGAAAGTCCCGGTAGTGAGATTACATTAAATTACACTCCCACCTTGACTACACTTAAAAAAAACAACTTATCACTTATTTTTGAATTGTGTACTTGATAAGATGAAGGCTTACATCATCAGCTCAAATAATTGCGCGTGTGTGTGTGCGTGCGTGCGTGTGCGTGCGTGTTCTGCCAAAGGTGTATGCCTATTACAGTAATCAGAAGGCACTATGAAACCTTTACATTTAGTGCCCTCTAGTGGCCCCATTGAAAGCTACCATGATCATAGGAGTATTTTGTATTGGTGAATAAAACACCCTTAATATGCTTTAAGTAAATGGTTACATTTGAATATATCATCATAAACCTTGTTTATAGATTATGTCATACAAACTGTAAAGGGTCCCCAGTGTTCTCAGGATAAATTAAATAAAAATACTATAAAACTGACGTGACAATGCTACATTTTATACACAACATCTAGATGGCCACCAAGTTTGATTTGATTAGTAAAAAAGATCATTGCTGACGTTAGGAGTGACGGCTCAAACATTATGTTTAAGTGATTAACAAATAGTTTAGTCAAGAACCACCTTCAGAATACAATAAGAGGAAGAGAGTCATAAAGCAAGTGTCTTTGTCATCAGTTTGTTTATTTGTGAGCTGCTTTTTCAGATCATTTCACAACCACATGTTGAAGTCTTCCTCTGGCTGTAGGCTGCTCCTCTAGGTCTAATTCTGATTCAAATGATACTGAGATAATACTTTATTACTGCTGATAGAGCAATATTAAAAATAGTTGTATAACTTGATTTAACTGACCCTTAGTTTGTTTCTGTATCCACTTTGAAAAAGACATGAAAGCAAATCATTTTTATCTCAAAATCTTTATAGGTTATGTGGTATAAATGGTTTAGCAGGTAGAATAATAATCTGCAATATTAGATTTGCAATGATAAACTTCTAAGTACTAAAGTTTTGATCACACTACTCAGGGGAAATTAAGAGCAAATCCCAGCTTAAAAGAAACTTACAAGAACAAGAAACAAACAAGAAACATAAAGGGGACAATAAAGGATGTTCATGGGTAAATATTAATCAGTTATAAAGAAATATATACAAAAGTACATTCAGAGATTTACTGTTCACATATCAATACCAAGAGACATAAAACAAAACCAGTACATCACATCACAGTATGTCTGAAGTATCCCAAAGATCCTATTTACCTCGCCTCAAGAAGATTAAATATAAATTATAATTATTATATTTATTATATTTATAAATATAAATTATAATTCAGAATTCCATAATACAAAAAGCCTCAGTGATTGTCTTTTCCTTTCTATCCTTTTCCTCTCCTTAAATACCCTTTGGACATTTTTAGCTGTTTTTTTTTATTGTTTCATTTCTTCTCTTTACTTTTGTTTTTTATTTTTTGAAGACTGACTGACAGTGTGACTGTCTCAATAATCATTGGATGAGATAAATTGAGATTTTTATTCTCATGTGACAATGACTTATTCTTTTCAAACAGTCAGGCCAGGCGAGGATCTTCTAAGCTCAGGGTCACTCTGACCTTACCTTACCTCGCCTCTCTCTCTCTCTCTCTCTCTCTCTCTCTCTCAACCCACATTCCCTTTTCCCTGCACTATCTCTCATGGGAAGGATCATTCATCACGCCTGTCTAAACAGCCCGGTCACGACTTGATTAGTGACTCTTTTAGGTCAGACTTTTCAGTAGCATATACTAATTCAAATGCTTGCATGCATCTGCTTCTGCAAATGTGTGGACACAGATGAGGGAATGTTGCTTGCATGCTTTAAACACTGTCCATCAACCAGTAAGCAGCAGGCCATCAAACCCCGGTCTCTAGTGAATTCTCATTTCTCAGGAACCAGGTAGATGCTCATCAATTCTATTCTGCCCCCAACTGGTTTTGTGGAGATCAGAACAGTGACTGACACCAAGTCATTTGGTGCTGTACTCATCATGTGATCAAATGTTTCCACCATCCCAGAGGGGAAAGGAGGATGCTAATGACAGTTACAGGCTTGTGTGTGTGTGTGTGTGTGTGTGTGTGTGTGTGTGTGTGTGTGTGTGTGTGTGTGTGTGTGTGTGTGTGTGTGTGTGTGTGTGTGTGTGTGCGTGTGTGTGTGTGTGTGTGTGTGTGTATGTGTGTGTGTGCGTGTGTGTGCGCGTGTGTGTGTGTGCGCGTGTGTGCGCGTGTGTGCGCGCGCATGTGCCTGTCTGACTTACAACATGATGTGTATGGGAGTGACTAACAGAACTGGACAGTTCCTTCAGTTCAGCAGATAAGGCGCCAGACTCATTATCGCTCATATTCCTCTAAAAGATTTATGACTATGGGGAATTGGACACACACACACACACACACACACATACACGCACACACACTCACACATACGCTCTCATACATACACACACACAAACCTGCCAGCATTAATGATTAGCCACATTTGTTGAGTACAAGGACTCAGCTTTGAAAGACATTAGAATTCATATTAATATTAATGTAAATGTTGTCTGAAAATATTAAGTAGGTTATTGCATTGACATGCCTGACTAAAGACATACTGACAGTGCCAACTGTATGGGTTGGCGTGTTTATAGAAGTAAAGGTTTTTTTTATTTGACATGGGTTGGGTTAGTGAATGAAATGTCATGTCATGGCTTGTTATGTCTCATAAATGTTTTCTATCACTGAGGAAAAAAGTCAGCTGGGCATTCACCATCAATTCATCAGCAACTACAGTCACAGTATAACTCATATTGAAAATTGAAATATTATCTTATAACCAAATGGAGCAGATGGAACAACAAAAATGAGAATAAGATCAAATACAAGTTGTGGGAAACTTGCATCATCGAGGTGCTTTCCTGAAGGTGGTTTACCCACAGTGTTACAAAAGCTATAAAACAGAAAGTACTACGGGATACTACAGTAACTAATAATACTTACACAATTCATCACTATGTTTAAATGAGAAACAGAAAACATAATTACCATAATTACCAATTTACAATTACCAAATTAAAACCAAATGTCTTCACATTACTCTTCCTGTTTATTAATTTCTACCATTTTCACGAGCTCTCTGCTGCTCTCTTCTTGACATAGTCTTTTAGGCCGTGTTGCATAGACTCTGCATGGAGAACTTTGAGAGGAATAGTCTGCAGTAACCAGCCCTGAATGCCCATATAAACGCACACACACACACACACACACACACACACACACACACACACACACACACACACACACACACACACAGAGGGAGACCAATAATCACAAGGACAAATTAGTCTCCTGCCATGTTACTTTGCATTATTTGGAATTACCAGATGTTTGTAAGTCTTACCAGGACTATGTGATAGATACTGCCGGGTGTTTTGTCTCCAGCTCTGATGTACTGCAGGGAGCTCTTTACAAAGTCTTCTGGTGACAGAGTCACTAAATTGCTTTTTTGGTAAGCTGCCATCCGAGTGGAGACCCCAAATGGAGATACTGCCTGAGAAAACAAGAATAGAGAGAGAGAGAGAGAGAAAGAGAAATTTGTGACAAAATTTTCGAGATTTGAAGAAAAAAAAAATCACTCAAAAGATAATAACAACTCATTCCCTCTTCTTTTGATTTAAAGACCTTGAGGCACATTCTCAAAAAGAAGTGAAGTACCTGTATAATAATCCCTTTATCTTTGTATTCAGCTTGAAGACCTTGAGAAAATCTTTCCACGAACACCTACAGAAAGATGAATTAGAGCATGAGCGATTATACAACATGATATAGGAAGACTAGCGGTGTACTGGTGACCTGGTGACCTTAGATGCAGCATACAGGGTGTACATAGGGAATGGAATAAAAGCCACTCCAGACGAAATATTCAAAATCACCCCTTTTCCCCTGTGGAGGAAAAAACAAAAAACTATTGTGGTCTTACATTATTAACTCAATGTTAATCACCATATTGTGTTTTTATTGTATTACACATTACATCTAATGAAGAAAACATGAGTAGGAAACCTGTTCTCCATGCCTGGAAGGATTATTTTGCTCATCTGGGGAAAAAAGAAAATATGTTCAGAGGGTAGTCAGAAAGGGAGAAAACAAAGAATCCTGCACACTTTCCATCATTTGAACTCAAGTTATTAATGATGCTTCAGTCCTGACCTTCATTAAACTATATGAACTAATGTCTATAGGAACATGGCCTGATTCAGGTCTGAGGACTGACATGTGGTTAATAAAGTGAGTAAATGATTGACTGTGAGCAAGATTCTTTGTTTTGTTCCCAGCCAAGAGTGTTTTTTCATCCTACACACCTGCCACTAAGACAGGAGTACATTTGTTTGAAAAAAGTAAAAGCAAATATGTACTCTTACCTTGGCCATAGTTTTCACATTGCAGTTTATCACCTTTGTAATTGTCTGAAAGCACAAAATAAACATGGGTCCCAAGTAAACTATTATTATATTATTGATAATCAAGGGACAGAAAATTCACACGGATTCACACAACGCATTTTGCTGGTTAACGCTGAATGTAAACATAACTTTTTGCTGTTGACAAGAAAAACTTGTATAGCTGCTGAAGGACCACTAACCTGATCCAACTCTGCAAAATCAAGGAATTTGCTGGGGATGAAGCTGGGCAGCATGCCCACATTATTGACTGTGGTAAAGAAAAAAAAAGAAGATCCAATTACAGGGGGGAGGGGAATAAGCAGATGTTACTATCTTAAATGATGACTGTTTGCTTGCGTTTGGTGCGCGTGGGAGCAATTAATGTTTCAAACATTATATGGAAAAATAAAAAAATGTCCAACCTAAAATCCCGATGTTGAGGTCCTTAAGTTGACCCTCAATTTCACTGAAGACATTTTCCTGTGTGAAGTCTGTCACTATGACTTTCACTCTCTGTCCTGTTTTATCACCTATGAAGAATGAAATCGACTGTTACAGATGACAAACATCACTGCATGTAGATCTGATCTCATTTTTAATAGCAGACACAATATAAATATAGAAAGTAAGTTCTTACCTATTTCCTTGGCTACCTGGTCCAATGTTGCTTTGGTTCTACTCATGATAACCACGCTCATTCCTTGTTCAGCCAGCTGAGGGAAGCAATGGTACAGTGATGGACAGGAGGAGAAATAATAATGAGCAAGTTGCCGAAGACAAAAATGATCATATGTGCATCCACTAAAGAGTAAATATTTGAACATTAATTACAATGTATTCATGACTGGATTACACAGACAACATTAGAATATATAGCAGGTATCTTATCTTTGAAAATGCATTTATTTTGGTGTCCTACAGTTTTAAGTAGAGAAATGTTTGTCATACTGTGCTACTGTATTGAAACGATCACTTACCGCAAATGCATACGATCTTCCTATGCCTTCTGAAGCACCAGTCACCACTGAAAAAGGGATGCAGGGATTAGAATTAGAAATCAATTCCATCAGCTGTCATATTCTCCTGTAGTTTCCACTCTAAACACTGGGGACGCTGTGAATCAGAGATACGCGACCCAATCGCTCTGCCTTTGCTGTCGACGGAGGAAGAGGATTGTGTTTTTGATTTGTTTACACTTTACCCAACCCATCCTGTTCTAACATACTGTACTAATACAGCATGTTCCCCACTTCTGATAAAGAATTTGCTGAGAACAAGCAGGAACTGCTTGTTTCTGAGTGCTGACTACTCTCTTATCTCCTCCCAACCCCGATTACAAAGATCACAGGCTCTGTCACCATTTTCAGACATGGAGTGATAGGTATCCATAGTAAACTGGGCCTGGTCCAGGACGGGGATTTAAGAATTAAGTACAGACAAGAGGGCTTTAGATGAGATGCATTGGTTTAAAATGCTGTCAGCAGAAGAGTTATAACTGCTCAGATGTGAGCAGCAGCTTAGTCCCTTTTCAACAAACTAAATGGTCCTGACAAATGTGTATGCACTCCCTTGTGCCTGAGAAAATGCCAACGGCATCAGATACCAAAGCTCTGAGCTCCAAAACCTCAGTAAAGGTCTGACATGTTGAGAATTGATTTCATGCTGCGCTCTGAATTCCTAAAAACAAACCAACAGAACAGTTTCTGGAAGACAATGATCAGTTCTGGCACGCTGCCCACTTCTCGCTTTGGGAACAAGTGTCATGAGATTCAGCAACTCTAACATACTAATTGATCTTTTGCTGAGCCCTGCCCCTTTTAATTATCATTGCTACACCTAGAAAATTTGTTTGTGTGTGATTTTAGGTGTCACTGTCATATCCCTGTGACTGGATTAATAGTGCATACTTGGAGACTTCTCTCCCTGTCCTCACTCACCTGACTAACCTGCCCGTTCATACACCTGGTACCACTTATCATCTAATCACCTAAGATTCCCTGCCAACACACACACACCTGTTCCCAGGTTGTGCTCACTGCTCCCTACTCACTATCTAGGGAATACTATATAGTGAGCTCATTGGTAAAATGAAAAAAAATTTTTTTTTGGACCCTCCCCGGTCATTTTCTTTGCACCATTTTTCTTTCTTTCGGTGCAAGTGCAATGTATGATGGTATGTGCCTGCCTGCCTATTGATTATTCACCCATCTGCCTGTTAATCTTGTTTCCTTCTCCATTAAAGTATCTTCACTGAATCTGCCTTTGTGTCTGTGTTTGGGTCCTCCTTTCCTGTGCTGCTACCAACAATTGTGACACTCTTGAAGAAACCTGGTCTTGATCCAACATTCCCTCATAACAACAATATCCGGTTACTCTTTGTTCCAAACATAATTGACAAGTTGGTTGCCAAGCAGCTAGTACTTGAAATACTTGGTAGCGATATTTCTGACAGTGTTCACTTGGTTTGCCATCAACACTGTACTGAAACTGCTGTCCTCTGTGTTACAACCATGTAGTTACTCTATTACAATCTTTGTCGACTCTCAGGTGTTGCTTGAACGTAACACCACTGATCATAACATTGTATTGGTCAGGAATTGTATTGACATAATAGAACTTGCTCTAAATTGATTGTCTTACTTTTTATCCAAGAGAAAGTTTAGATTTTCTATTGAATGTTTCTGTCTGCTACATACAAGGTGTATGGAGTCCCACAGGGGTCAATACTTGGTGTGTTTTTTTTTCTTTGTTTTCTAATTCAGTCATTACCGTATTTTCCGCACTATAGGGCGCACTGGATTATAAGGCGCACTGTCAATGAATGGTCTATTTTCGAACTTTTTTCATATATAAAGCGCACTGGATTATAAGGCGCATTAAGCGAAACAAAACAGTCAGATAAGTCAGTCAATCAAACTTTATTAAACACGTTCACAATAACTCTCAACATTGTTCAAATGTTAATGAGCGTATTCACAATAACTCCCAACCTTGTTCAGTTGTAACACGTAAAAAAAACACAGTCTGTTCTACTGCGTGACTGATAGCCTTGAGTTTGAAGTCCGCGTCGTAAGTGTGTCTCTTGACAGGTGCCATTTTGGGGTCTTTATACACACACACTGTAATATTATGGTGAAGCACATGTATGACTCTGCGACACTCCTGACTACGGTAGCCATAACAACCAGAATTAATCCATATATAAGACGCAGTGGATTATAAGGCGCACTGTCGTTTTTTGAGAAAATTAAAGGCTTTTAAGTGCGCCTTATAGTGCGGAAAATACGGTACTTAAAAATTGTTTTCTGCCAGTATTATGCCATTATTGATGTTTCATTTTTATAATAAAATAACCATTGACATCTGCATTCCCTACAGTTGCATTACATAATACTACATAATATTAACATTTTATGATATGAGATAATAAGTCATAATTACAGTGAAGCACTATGTAATAATTGGATACAGGGGCAACCTGAAGGGTGGCCTTGAGGTTTGAGGTGCTGACCACATCCTGCAGTGTCCTCAGTTCACAACCTGCTGCATGTTATTCCCCATCTCCCTCTGTCCTCATTTCCTGTCATCGCTCTACTGTCAATATCCTAAGGTGTACAATGCCCCCCAAAAATGATAAGACACGTTATACAGTAAAGACCCAGTTTCATGACTTCAGCATTGTATCTCTCCTTCTTTACAGATGACTCTGGCTACTCTCGCATCGCTTACCCTTACGTTCAAGGCAAGGAAGTCAGATATTGGGAAAGGACTCAATATAGAACTGCTCCTCCGTCACATTGATTCTCTTTGGGCATCTAATCAGGATTCCTTCTTCTGGAGGCACATCCAGCTGGAGGATATCCTGGCACACCCATAACACAATGGCCGGATTATCCTCAGTATATTACTGTGCATATTTCATCTCACCCAGCAACGGTACCCTTCAGGAAAAGCTCCATGACGCGGCTGAGGAGAGAAACACTTGGGCCACCTTGCTTGTCCTGATGCCATCAACCCAAACTTGGAGAAGTGTAAAATAACAGACAGATGGATCTTGAAAATAAGACAGCTGTGAAATCTTCCTGACATCTTGCTAGCTGAGTGTAGGTCAAAATGGTAACAAAGGCTGCTAATGTATAATTTTACCCCTGTGCCACCTATTTGCCACCTCTGTGGTTAAATGTTACTATTCAAAGCAATGTTCTTCACTGGTGGTCATTTGCAAATAACATTATGTGTTACAACACAACAACAACCCATTAAACAATAACCAGAGCAAATTACACATTAGGTGCACTCTAGGTTAGAGAAACTCTGTAGCCTCTGTGGACATAGTTTGACAGGAAGTACTGCATTACAGGAAATACATTCTCAAATAGAACACTGGGTCATATAATATTGTGATGGTTCAGTGTCAAATTGAGTGAAGTTAATGAACAAGTAGACAATAAAAATCTTTCAGACCATTTTTGTCTCAGACATGAATCAACCATTGTCCTTCATGTAAATGAGTTCTGTGAACGGAAACAGCCTAATGAGGCAATTTTTCAGTCAGTCAATGTTACATAAAAGCACCCCAAAGTCTCTAACAAGACCTCATTATCTCTTCTTATATAAAATACATATACTGCAGGTTTCATTTTATTTTGATAGCTCTACTTTGTTTATCTCACAGAAGTTGCTTCTATTTTGGTACCAATTTAAGACAGTTTTCTCAACACAGTTTCTGTCCATTTAGTTTCAGTATAAAATCATAAGTGAAGTATTGGAGTACTGAGATTGTACTCTGACGTGTCTGCCCAGAATGCAGTCCACTATGTGCCAGAACAATGTTTTCCTTGATGTCACAGTTACTGTGATGTAAGATGTGAGAAAAATCTCAATGATAACATCATTCTTAAAAATAACTTAAACATAAACATTCAATGCCCAATTCCTTTACTGTTACATAAATGAAATATCTTTGAAAGATTTGCAGCTTGAATGAATACCCTGTTGTTTTTTGTACACTTGGTATTTGTACACTCGTAGTCAATATAACCTGGTTCAATAGTTATTACTGCACTGCACAAAGAAAATAGTTGGGGCTAGTACTGTTTTCACAACATGTTTTACATAGTTATAGAGAGTATTATCAATGACTATTGATAGCCACTCATATGTAGCAATAAAATCCTAATGACACCCATTTCTACCATTAATACTTTATGTAAATATGCCAATTGTAGGGCTGTAGGGATTTTACAAATGACATAGCAATTAAAATTGTGAATACCACGTCTAAATCAATACTCCGCAGCCCTCAAATACTCATATACTGACAATAATGACACACTACAAGTATATAAACTGTAAATGTTCACTTCATATATATGCTGACTTCAGTAGACCCATGCACCACACCATACATCGTAGGGCACTTGACAGTGAAAAGACTCAAGTCTAATTGAGACACAAACATGCAAATGTGGTTTGAAATCTTCAAGACAGAAATTAATGCACAGGGATGGGGTTTATGCAGCTTTGAACATACTGTGGGCTTTGGAAATAAAGAAAAGATCAGCCCAGTATTGTGTGTGTGTTTTTTTTATTTTTTATGAGGCATCTGTTAGCACTTTGGAAGACTGAATAGCCTTTTCAGAAGATGCCAAAGAAAAGTCTTGTAAATTGATGACATGGCTCTGGGACCTTCCAAGAAGTGTTTCGGTGTAATTACGGGGAGGTGGTCTGTAGGGTGAGCTGACCATATGCCCTCAGATGTATTTAGGTTTGAATGTAATGGGGGCATTCTCAAGTTTATAGGAAGGTTATAAATTAAATTCGCTACATCATCTTATCCTTAATCCCCTCTGTCAACTTATCCTAAAGGCACTTCACTGTAAATTGTTAAAGGAAACAAAGGCAGTTTACACTGTATCCTTAGTATTGTACTTGAAATGTTCCTCCTCGTCACCAGTGACACCAGTTTGACTCCCTTCTCACACAGTTATTATGATTTAACCCTAAACACATTGGGTGTAAACATTTTGCAGATAATCTCAGAATTAATGTTTTCTTATCTTATAGAGAAATGCATTTAAGGCAGAAATATGTTTTGTGGATTTAGTGACACAGATGAGGGTTTTTTTTTCTGCAAATGTAAGCAGCGGCTCCGTACGTGTGAACACGTGGCTTCTAAAGGAGTGTCATAACATGGCTCTTTACATTCAGATGTTACATGACTGTCATATTGTGTAACAGTGAAAAGTCTGAACAAGTCTAGAACCTGAAACTCTCTTCTTTATCTTTGAATGTTTTACAGCCAAAGTTTTTCAGGCACAGACAAATTCTAGACACATGCACTTTCATACATTGGTGTACTCATATGACCATCATAGTCAAACTAAATACACATAAGAGGACTTTTATTACATAAAGTATGCAGTTATGACTCTGACTAACATCTAAATTGTCCCAGGGCTACATACCCAATCCATCAAAGTCCTAGCAGTTATTAGTCAGAGTATGACCTTCTGTAGGTCTGACAAACAGCACATGCACACACAGCTCACCTGCCCATTCTCCCATAGACGTGAAGAATGTCTTTGACAGTGGAAACCACAGGTTTGGAAAAAGCATTCTAGTGAAAAGCAGCAGTTTCACTCCATAGTAGACAACAACTGCCGAACCAAGAGAAATGAAAAACAGTTCCATTAAATCCATGCTTTTCTGGTACTAAAAACTCTAGCTTTGAACCTCTCTGTGTTTGTCTCTGCTATGAGAGAGAGTTTTAGTTCAGTGCTTCACTAACAGTAGAGAATGACAGACAGAAGGAATTGCCCTGCCAGAGGACACTCCCATTTCAACCACAGGCTCTCACTCTACTTCTGACTTGCATGCAAACACACACACACAAACAGCATGTTGTACTGAACCACAATGTTTTTTTTTTTAACTCCTGAGCTTCCATGTGAAACATGTCAAGAGTGATTTCTTAGGAACACATTAGGAATCCAGGGGTGATGATTGACACTTTCAGAACCTAAATATTATAACCTTTTGCTATAAGTATAATGATAACTTTATATACTGTATAACACTTTTCTTAACAATAGTACATAAGCAATTTTATCTACACATTTCTCTATGACATACTTGATAAGCTACCTAAATTCCTTGAATACTATGTGGCGCCGGTTCCACTATCTGGCAAAGTGCTACTGAATCCAAAAGAAGACAAGATAAGGATTAGTTTAGTCGGAAAAGTATTTATTTTAACTGCAATGTTTTCATTTGAAATGTGTTCTGAAAATCAGCTGAATGCCACCTGCCAATGAAGCTGGTTTATTATAGTCATTTGATAGAGGTTGATGACAATAATTTGTCATATTTTCTAAGCTGATCCCCTCCCTTTCAGCTGCCTATCCTTGGGTTTTGTGCAAATAGCACAAACTCTTTGCCCTCAGTATTTGCATTTTCTACCTGTGACATACTGTATGTGTGGTAATTGCTCAACACACATTAAAGCTCCTTTCTGCATGGTGTGGAAATTTCCAAAATAGTTTTAAAGTTTTAAAGTTTGCTGAAATGGCACACATGCAGTATGAGGCCACTCTTGCATTGAGCAGGCTATGTCTACTCTGTTTTGTGTGTTACTTAATGCACAGACTGAAACTAAAGTTATTTTGTCTTGGTTCTACAAAGCCCTGTTAAAAGCCATTTTGAATGATGAATGATTATTTGCCAAACCATTAATTTAAACAGCTCAGACACTGATGTTTGGACTCAAAAACAAGACTCAAGACAAAAAGCTCTCTACTTAGTAACAGACAGGCAGTCAGAGAAGGCATACAAATCAGGCAGGGAGCAGGTCATCAACAAACAGACAGAGGGAAAGGACAGGATCAGGCAGGCAAGAACAAGGAGGCAATCTGTCGTGATATCACGTGTCCTACATGTGTCCTTCATGTAAGGATCAGAGCTGATGTGGAATATCTTGTATGCAATAAACCATATTTGATCATATTTACTTTAATCAATACGTTAATGACAAGAATTGACAAGTTTGAGTGGAAGACTATGTGTGGTGAATTGGGGAGAGGACTGTATATGTGCATACTGCGAGCAAAAGTAAACATGTGGTTGGTGAAGAAAACTCCATATCTAGACATTCATCTGGCAGAACTATTTTTGTACTCAAAGCAGAACAAATGGAGGGGTGAATATTGTGCATTCATTTATTCTGTGACCAGAAACATGACTCCAACTGGATTCTTGTATTGTTTTGGAATAACTTTTCCCCCCAAAAATGGTTTAATTATGTAGCTTAGTGATGGATGATCTAATAGTATTTAGTGCAACATGATGGTGTCAACTATGATTTTTTTTCCTGTTCTGTTTATACCACAGCAGCTATTCCTATCATATGTCTGATTGTATGACTGCCAAAGACAAAGTTACTAATCAATTAACAAGGATGATTTAAAGCAATATTTGAATTTGATGATTTATATGATTTTTGTATTAATGTGATGAAGTGCTCTGTTTTTTCAGGTAAACGATTTAACATTCCAGTCTGGTCATTCTAATAATTTTTTTAAACACAATTTATATTGATATTCTGGAATGAAATTACATATGCTGTGATAAAGGATTTTATTTATAGTTGAAACAATTAATCCTTAATAAACCCTTATTCAATTAACAGAAAATTAACCAACTGCAGCTGTTTTGATAGTGGATTATTCATGAATTATTTCTTCTAACAAAAATTCCAAACAGTCATTGGTACCAGGTTCTTAATAGTGAGTATTTTCTGTTTTTCTGTGGTTTATATTACTGTAAACTGAATTCTCTTGGGATTTGGACTGTTGGTTGGACAAATCAAGCGATTTAAGGACGTTGTCTGGGGCTTTCGAAAATTGGGACAGGTAATTTTATTTTTATTTCAAAGACCAAATATTTAATCACTTAATCAAGAGAGTATCTGGCAGTTTAATCGATAATTACTATAATCGTGAGTTTCAACCACAATTTTATCCATTTGATCTGCCTCTAATAGCTTTAAGAAATTCAGATTTTCTTATTAGAAAAAAATCAGTGTTGAGTCTTTACTGTCTCTAAACTGCACATTATAATAGTTGAGGATTATAGTATTATAAAACAATATGTGTTACATATTTTACAGTAACTTTAAATATGTTGAAAGTGTTGCAGTTGTTGATGGAAGTTAAATTAATAGTCAAGAACACATTAAGTCACATTTATGGATATAAAATTTGGTTAAGAAGAGAATAAGCCTGAGGAAGGATTAATAATAAAAGGTAATCATACTTTTATGTGATGTGTTAATCGGTTTTTATTAAACGGATTAATAATGGGGATCTGCACATGCTTCATGGATGTATTATGCACCGCAAACGTCATCAGCACGCGCCTGCCGTGTTGCTCGCGCCATTCCTACAAGCGTGTGTTTCCATCTCTCATTACATTAACACTGGCAGAGCTTTAGTAGCCACTGTTACAAGCATATATTCTGCTTCTCTGCCGTCATTCTTTTAGGTGAGTCCAGTTTTATATTTATCCTTTGCTTAATCATGAGAGGAAAGGCGTTATTCGACACCACGGACGTTGTCGACGCTTGGTTTCGCGTTGAATAAGTTTAGCTTGCTAGCTAGCCCTAAAGTTAGCTTTGGTGTTTTGTGTATGCATGATTTGGGAACTCAGTGTGGCCCGTTTCCATTAGTGAATGAGCGGCTGTCGTATTTAATAACAGATGACCCCCGAGGGCCACTAAAAGGACCTGGACCACACTGCGAATATTTCAGAGCTAATGAAACTCAACTCTCAATCAGAATGATTTAAATGTAACTGTGTTGTTGTTGCCTCAATCTGACCCCTTATCACCGAGTTTGTTTTGATTATGTGCGCCTCAGAAACAAACTAACCCACTTCATGGACGTGTCTTGCTTGGTATGATTGTATTACGGTGTTAAAACCATTATAACAACGTTTCTATGCTGTGATAGAACCCTAATAGCACAATCAGTTGTGTCAGGTAAAGGATAACATACAGTTAGTCAAATCTGAGCCACATCATTGATAACGTTTTATTTGGTACAGCTAACGCTATCATCGTTTAGCGTCCATTAGCTTATAAAGTTATGCTGCCGCTAGCTTACTTGTTCACTCAGCATTTGACAATTAGCTTAGTGTTAGCGGTAGAGGCCATGGCATATGCCAAACACAAGACGTGAGCTTGCTAACGTCGTATAAGACCCCCAGCACGCCGCGTTGAGTTTACGGGGTTCGTTAAGACAGGTGTAGCTAAGATACAACTACAATACTGAATTGTAAGTGTAACCCCGTTAGCAAGCTACCTGCTTGCATATTTGCTCTACAGAGTGTCATAGCAGATCGTCAACAATCAAGTTTTATGTTGTGATTTTTTTTTTAGCGCATGTGTTGAGAGTGTATTCAGTTCTCACCTGGTAAAAAGGACAGTATGCAAGGCGAATGACAGGTGTACAGATGCGGCATGTTGTGCTTGAAATACCTCAGCACAGTCTATATAAAAACAGACAATAGGCCTGTTTCACAGAGGACATTTCTATATGTTATTATAGGAAAAGCATAGGTGTAAATAATGAAATTAAGGATGGCTGTATTCCATCAAGCTCCTCAGTTTTCAGGTTCCTGGTATAAGGCATGGTGGCTCGCTGTCACACCATCAGGGCTTACTGAGACACTAAAAGAGAAACCATTGTTAATGTTATTAGAAACAAATGTGCCTCTCCTACCATGACAAGTCAAAATGTATATAGTGAAAGAGGCCTATGATGTTACAGATCCAGTGCACAGCTAGAGAAGCAGCACCAACAATAACAGACCATATTTCTATTGTATATTGATGTTGTGCAAGTATCCTCCTTCACCTGTTAAAGACGATTTGACAGCATTTTAAAACTGACTGTACCATCATGCACAGGAACTCAGAGACTCTTGCAGACTGTTGCAGTTGACCGGAGGAACTTAACACTTACTGCCTGTCCTTATTGAAGTACACAACTTGAACAGCCTAAATGACCGTCTTGCAGTGACCATTTCAGCACTTAGAATGAGTGAGTCTTTAAATGAGATCAGTCCCTGGGTTAAAACTTTTATGTCTTAATGTTCAACATAAACATAGTTGGCACTGATATGATAATGATTCCACCTGTTTGTTTGTCTTGACAGTGTCAAAATGTGTCACAGGCATGTGGTACAACTCTAAATGATCTCTTTTTAATCAAATAACAAAGGTCACAGAACCAAGTAGGAATAGAAACAAACAAAAGAAGATCAGGCAGAAGGAAGAAAAATGAATTCCTGTGTGATGGTCTGTCCTATGCAAGTCTTGGTTGTATATACCAGTCATTTTTTTGTTCTGGAACAAATCCAAATATAGCCAAATAGGTGGATTTGCTCTCTTGTGAGAGACAAAGGTAGCCATTGCTTTCACTACTATATTTTGCTCCCCTTTTTAATTGAATCCTTTTTTAGGGACAATAATATCCCAGACACTAACTTATTTGGTGATTGTGATGCCAGAAAATGTTAACATTGCTCAGCCCAAGGCATACTTGAAAGTTATAATCACCATGGTTACATGCATACTAGTGTGTGAATTAAGAGTCTTATCCTGCTTTTGATCAATTTGAAGTATGACGTTTACATGGAACATTAAGATACCTGGTTATTTATATCCTCGTAATTCTAATATTTTCCAGGTTTCTGATCATGTGTCATTACAAATATGTCTTTG